GAGAGACAGGAGAGGCAGACATGGACAGACAACGACAGACAGACAGACAGACAGACAGACAGACAGACAGACAGACAGACAGACAGACAGACAGACAGACAGACAGACAGAGACAGACAGACAGACAGACAGACAGACAGACAGACAGACAGACAGACAGACAGACAGACAGACAGACAGACAGACAGACAGACAGACAGACAGACAGACAGACAGACAGACAGACAGACAGACAGACAGACAGACAGACAGACAGACAGACAGACAGACAGACAGACAGACAGACAGACAGACAGACAGACAGACAGACAGACAGACAGACAGACAGACAGACAGACAGACAGACAGACAGACAGACAGACAGACAGAAGCAGATCGGACGGTGGCAGGAAAGACAGGCCAGAGACAAACAGTAGACGAGAGTGAAAGGAAGGCATGTAAGGCGAAGTGTGGTGAGATAAACATGATGTGCAGACAGATTCGTTTCCAAGGACAGTACAACTAAACTAGCTTCTATGCGTAGCTTATACTATGGTTACATAGCTACTATGTAGCCCATTCAAAGTAATTATGTGCTGACGTTAGTTATCTTGCATTCCTTATTATACAGTGCGCTCAATTTATATGCACCCCTAATTTTGTCAGTTTTCTAATTATTGGAAATTTCGGTGAATCGGCATAGCAATCCGCGATCCGCCCCTTTTCGGCCGAAGGAACGGACCAGACGACAGCGTGTCAGAAAACTAAGAATGGTGTTGTTTGATTTTGGTTAACGCGTGGATTTGAATTTGCTCTGTTCTTTTGAAGAAAATGGGCCGCGTCAATTGCTTATGCCATCCTAAATTTTCTTCAGAATTTCTCATGTCTCTAACGCTATTCAGCTACGGTGTGCATGCACAAATGAGGAAATCCTCCACTTATGCAATGCACACAAATGGGAGCATTTATAACTAATTAGTTCGGAATATTAGCCCTAATACTGGACGGTAGCAGCATGAAAACGCTTTATCAGAGAAAGTGCTGTGTGCTCACTCTTGCGATCGCTCCTGCTGCTTATTGTAGAACTCATCGAGGTGTATCCAGGCAAAACTGGGGAAATTTAAGTGCTCAAGGAGCTCTTAAATTCTCATTTTCCCGCTTCGAATCCGTGGTCAACTTTATTTGTGGATCTCGGCTCCCGCGAAGCTCGAAGCGTTCACGCTCACAAAGTCTCTGTTCAGAGAGAATATGAGTTGCACTCACAATCCGCGTAGTACCCATCGCCGAACTTTGTCGGATTCTCTCTGGAAAAATTTTCGTACCGATAGCGAGCGAAAATGATGACATGGGCCAGTTGTAACTTGAACGGGACACCGAAGTGGTGGCATGGGCCATCATTGCATCGCCTTGATAAGAAAACTTCGATCGAGTTCAGTGATGGGTACCAGACGGGTAGTAGGTACGAGTCATGTTCTCTCTAAAAAGAGACTTTGTGAGCGTGAACGCTTCGAGCTTCGCAGGGAGCCAAGACCACAAATAAAGTTGACCACGGATTCGAAGCGGGAAAATGAGAATTTAAGAGCTCCTTGAGCACTTCAATTTTCCCAGTTTTGCCTGGATACACTCCTCGATGAGTTCTACAATAAGCAGCAGGAGCGATCGCAGAGAGTGAGCACACAGCACTTTCTCTGATAAAGCGTTTTCATGCTGCTACCGTCCAGTATTAGGGCTAATATTCCGAACTAATTAGTTATAAATGCTCCACCATTTGTGTGCATTGTTAAGTGTGAGGGATTTCCATTTCGCTGCACACCGTAGCTGAATAGCGTTAGACATGGAGAAAATTCTTGAAGAAAATTCAGGGGTGAAGATAGCATTTGACGCGGCCCATTTTTCAAAAGAATAAACAGCAATTGAAATCAACGCGTTAACCATAATCAAACAACACCATTCTTAGTTTTCCGACACGCCGAAAACGATGGTTGCTATGCCGATTTACGAAATTTCCAAATAAGTCAGAAAACTGAAAAAATCAGGGGGTGGCATATACAATTGACGCGCACTGTATTCGCTGAATTGTCTTTATCTAGATTGTTAATCGCCTCCGTACGCTTGGAAAAGGAGCATTTGGTGCTGTTTATGCTGGAGAATATAGAGTAGGCTTACGAAATCAGTTTCAATAATTGAAGGAATATAGAAAAACGATGCTTCTGTTTTAGACTCAAAATGGTGTCATTGTGCCTGTGGCAGTGAAGTCTTCGCCTTGTCACTACCGACAAGGATCAACGACTTCCTTGGATTAGCGAAGTGGAAATGACGCATGTAAAGCTAACCTCTAATTTTCCAATAAGCAAGCATCAAACCCCCAAGATTGCTTAGGTAGTACGTGGGTGGTGCGCCCGAAAATGAAAGCAAATGGTGGCAGTGGGTAACAGTAAGGAAGCGAGCAAAGAAACAGCTGAAACATCTGAGAGTGATTAAAAGGCAACCGATGTTGATACAGGCGGTATTGTGCTTGCAAGTAACAGTGGAGGTGTGAAAAGTATTGCCAGCAATGGGAAAAACGAAAAAAAAAAACTGTAGACAAGGCCGAGAATAAAGCCTTCTCTCCAGTGGCAGCAAGGCGGATAGCTCTAATAAGTACGATCTAATGGTGATGGCGGAGTCAGTGCTTGCATCCTAGGGCCCTAGCGCCTAGGCCCTGTCAAATCACCCCTGAAAGTTATGCACGTGCTTTCCGCTTGCGCACGCTACACTTTTCCGAGGGGAAAACTTCATCGACCAGAAATCCTGGACCTTGCCTTTAGACACTTACTCTATGGGAGAAATTGCGCCGTTCTCATTGGACACCCCCTCCCCTTTTTGACACAGTGAACAATAGTGGCGTGGGAAGGGCACAATTTCCTATATATCGAGATGGATTACGAGGTATTCTATGCTAAGTACCAATTTCATGAGGGCTTCTAAATAGACTGACGTCATTCCCTATCACCGCTGTTAATACAGCGTATCTTATGAATCAAATCTGCGTTGTTGGTGTCCAGGAAATTGTATCATTTCTGCAGGAAACTAATCATCCCAATATTGTAGATTTTTTTGGCTTTGATGAACCTGTGATAGTAAGTTTCTAATTATCTTCGAATTAAATTGACCAAAGTGCTCGATCTTTCGTGCAGGTAGAGTTATGATTCGTTTCAGATGTTTGCTCTATTCTATATCCAATTGCTTAACAGGGTAAAAACGGGCAAAAAAATGACAAAGTTTCATTCTAAAAGTCGGGTGAGGTTACTTTTGACTGTCACAAAATGCCTTATATTCACTGAGTGTTTTACCTATTAGATTATCGATTCTATCGTGTTTTAGAATCAATATATGATGAGCAGTCAACGGAGCTCAGTGTATGGTGTCCGATCGACCGGGGTTATGGATTTACGTTCTCAATTGCCAGAGATTGTACACGGTGATTGGCGCGCCGAAATGTAGTATGTACATCGTAGATATGAAAGGGGAAGGAATCACGGTATTTTGGTTTTTACTAATTTGGGGTTCCTTATTATGGGTTTGAAAGAAGTTATGCCGACACTCTTATAATTTCTTTCTTTTTAAATCAGTAGGTAACAACGAATGGGAGACTCTCGTGGCTTTAATCCACGAGGTGGATATAAGTGCTGCAGTCAATAGTTAACCAAGAAAATTCAAAAAACCCCGACCACTGGTAAAATCCACACTCCGAGTCACTGTCTAGTACAAATGTCTCCATAACTGTGGATTCGTGTCAAAGACCAACACTATCTGCAATCGCTTCAATAGGCATGTCGTGCACCGCTACAGCGTGTTTCCTTATCAGCGCTTTCGATCTTTTGATATTTTCATAAGAGCCAGCAGCGTCCTACACACTCCATTACAGGAAGGGCTCCTACGGAAGCTCATTTACAAATTCTTCGTCATGGGCACCACGTCTATGCTGCGAAACTCCAGAAGTTGGTCGAGGCAGCTCGTCAAGAGCCCTCGTATCGCGACAATATTTATTTCTTTCATGAAATTGCGAATCACCTTGTACGAAATGGGCCCGGTAAGGAATCTGGACCTGCGGCAAGATTTCTTGCCCCTCTCAGGCCGATGTCAGACTTTGCGACTCGCGCGATTCTGCGTGTTGACATCGTCTTAGGTTGCCGCTGCAGCTGTGAATGACTGCATTACCAGTCTGTAATCAGGATCTTGAGGACCGAAATATTACCGATCAACTCCAACTCAAAGAGTGAGGTCGCCTCCTTTCTCGACCCACACTCCGCTGGGTTTTGGCAAAGGAGCATCAAGAAATTTTTTGAGCGTTGAAGACAAGCGGAGGACACTCATGGTAGATACAAGACCGGTCAGGAGTTGTAAACAAAAAGATAAAATTAAAAACAAAAAGTGTTGCAGGACTTCTTTCCAACCTAATATTACAACATTATCTATTGTTGCAACTAATAATTATTGCGGTTCCAAGGTTACGAAGATGCAGTGTTCACGATATTCTGGTTGTTTTTGAGTTGGAAAGGGTTATAGAGAGGGTGAAGAAGTGCCATGTGGGCGACAACTGGCGCTTTGATGGCGAAAGACGCGCTGTTCGCTAGACATGGTGATGAAAAGGAACTCTTATACCTACGTCTCTGCGACGGAAATGCCCACTATTGAAAGTGTTCAGACTGTCGCGTACTATTGCTGCGATTTTACCCAGATGGCCGCCATATTAGCACAATTATGAGTATATCGCTATCGATTTTGTCACCCAGAATTGGGTTTATAGTCTTCGCTGGAATCATGCAGATTCCGAAAAAACGATCCAAAGTGGCCTGGTGTCTGCTTAGTGTTTTCATTTTAGGTATATCCTGAAACTTACGGACTTTGGCATTTCAAAACGGACCCGTTCGGAAACATTCGCTACTTACGACGACCCAAATAAGATCCCGTAAGTTACGAACCTGTCGTTTTCTACACGCTGACGACAATGGCTTTTTGGTTATGTTGAAGGAGCGAGCACGGGAGTGGTCACTCACTGGTGGTTCACCCTAGGGCCGTAGCCAAAGTCGTCGTCCGTCGCACTATTCGAACGGGGAGGCTCGGTGGCCGTTTTGGAGGAGAAATTGGAAGGACTTGGGCTGATTTATGATCTCAGAATCAAACACTATAGAAAGAGCCATGGTGGTGAGGGTGGTGATCGGATTAGAGAGGAGGGTTGTCGTACTGGGGCTTTCCAGGACTGATGGTGACGGTGGGGTCGAACAAGATCCATCCAAAGGAAGATAAAAAGGATAAAGCATTTGCCGTTGATCAATCCCTTTTTGGGATGCGGCACGCATTCTACTTCCATTTGTACATTCGTAGTGGCGTTTGAATGCGATGTGGCCTATACAATGACTTGCGGGGCCAGCCGATGTACAAGTCAGTGTTTTTATCCTCCCAGACAAGTCTGGTACCGACCCGGAGGGATGGAAGGCTTGGTTGGCCCGGGCGACTCACGACCCAGGATTTGATCCCCGGACCGCTCGCGTGGTAAGCGTGCCACTTGCCACTACACCACTTCCGCCCTAAAAGAGGGAGGTTGCAAAATCTAAGAAAAATACGAACGCGACGGTTGACCCAGGTCGCAACCATTCTGCAATTCGTGACCCAGTAGTCACGCTCTTCGTTAATGCTCAATAACGGCCATCATCGAAGTCGCTTCTTACACAGATTCAAATGGTTACCGCCTGAAGTACTGAGAAGTCGCGAAATGACGCCAAAAGCAGACGTTTGGTCGTATGGAGTTTTGATTCATGAGCTTGTACGGTATCGGTGAGCCATACGGTATGATGGGACCGGAGAAGGTGATTCATGCGGCTTAATCGTAGTGTTGTGGATTACTTCGCGTTCAGCGATAGCCGTGCTTATCAAAAGGAAAAAATATCCTACTATATATAAGCGGCTAGCGTGTGTCTGTTGGTGTGTGTGTGTTTGACCGGAAATTCATAGCTCGAGTCACAGTAACGATAGCGCAGTGGTTCTTACATATGTTATAGGGGGTGGGATGGGGACACAAGTGGTACGTGATAGGAACTGATAACGACTGATAATAGCTGATAAGAGGGGCTAGAAAGCGAGCATCGCCAATTTCGTTTTGCCGTTCATATTGGTAAAAGAGCGTCTATACTTACAAGTCTTATGTGGGCGGTCCCGGGACATTGGTGGTACATGATTGGAAGCGATAGCAACTGATAATGGCTGATAAGATGCGCTAGAACGCAAAAGTCGTCGATTCCGTTGCCTGGCTCGCGTTGACACCAGAGCAACCATACTTACAAGTGTTATGTGGGGTGGGACGGGGACATTGTTGGTGGGTGCCAGAAACTGATAACGATTGATAAGGGCCGATAAGGCGCGTCAGAACGCAAAAGTCGTTAGTTCCGTTACGCAGCGTTGACACTAGAGCGTTCCTACTTACAAATTGTAGTAAGTCGTAGTAGTACAAACAAAGGTACGTGCACATTATTTCGATATATATGTCCAGCTTACTTAATAGAATTCGACTGCATAAATTTTAAAAAACAAGTCTTCAGCAAATGATAAGTTTCATTTCTGACTATTAAGAAAACCCAAACTCATTAAACCGCTAATCCTTTCGTGGTTCTAAATAATGATGAATGTAAATGAATGATAAGCATTAGCTCCTCACTTATGTAAACCAGATTAGTCCCCCGTCAACCGCCGGGACCTTCCTTTCCTGCGCAAGCTTTCTATCCTCCGCTATGGTCCCTTCCTCCTGTGACACCAACACCTCCTGGAAGTGACGCGTATGCAACACAATGGTGTTTCATACAGTAGAAGGGACACAATCATGATATGACGGTAGATTTTTCGCTTCCCTTCCTCATCCTCCCTTCCTCTCTCCACTGCCCTCCAGCTGCCACTGCAGCACCATGTGGAATGAACGGAAGTGTGCTAAGCAGGTGTTTATATAGCCCTAAGAGTGTTATCACAACTATCCTGCTACAAAACATTGATATCTCAAATCCTGTAAGCTACCCGATTTGTTAGCGGTTTGTTTATCCCATGAGCTTCCTTCTCACTCACTTCATTTTGCGGACGGACACACATACATACACATACACACACACGCACACACACACATACAGATACACAAACCGACACACAAAGTTAGCGCTTTATAATAATAGAAGGATAGCATACTTCGTTTTGATTTTTGACTGACAGCAAAGATTCACCGCTAAATTATCTTAATTCAAGAAAAATGCTGGATGTTTACAGTTGTGAGATAAATATGCCAGTTCAGCTCCAGACGTTATCACGCGTATTCTCGATGAGCTTCAGTGAAACTGTGGAGGGTCTAACACAGTCAATAGTGAGATGGTTAATGGAGTATCTCATGCTGATATTCCATGGGTCCTCCAATTTCGCTAAAGCCTGCCGTGTGATGCGCGCGATAGCGGGCGAAGCAAAACTGGTTAAATTATCCTCGCACACCGTACGCTAATGTATAATAATATAAATATCCCTACTATATATAATGCGCTAAGTCTGTCTGTCTGTCTGTCACGAAATTCCGTATTAAGCGGACAACAACCTACTGGGTCCAGGTCATGTTTGGGATGGGTGTACCATATCTCGAGAAGTAAAAAACATACATTACCTAAGCGGAGCCCCGCCCACAGTGGGCGTGGCGTGCGTCGAAATGAGTGGTACTGAGGACCATGATTTCAAATTCAGTCACAAAACAGCCTCGAGACCGGGACAAAAGTGGGTTAGGGGTGGGTGGGGGGTTGGTAGGTGGCCAGGGTGGGGATTGAACTGAGGAGACCCACCCTCGGTGGGCGGGGCGTTCTCTAGAAAATGGGTGCTCAGTGAAAATATTCATAACTCGGTTAAGAGGAAGCCTACAGACCAGAAACGAAATTAGTGCAGGGGAGCAATGCCTAAGGTATTTCCACCACGCATGATGTGAACGGAGGCCCGCCCACAATGGGCGGAGCGTGTCGTGAAGCGGACAGCATTTTCTACAAGAGCTCATAAATCGGCTCCGAGATGACTTAGAGACCGGAAAACAACGGATAGAGGTCAGGAGGGGAGGGGAAGCTAAATGTCAGGGATGGGCGTGGCTTACATCAAAGTGGGCGGAGTTTGCAATTAGGCTTATAACTCGGCGGTTCCTAGGGGTCCCGGAGTGTCCGTTCGAGCCGCGCGGAAATAAAAAAGCGTATGTGTGGATGAGGGTTGGCAGAGGGAAAGGGGTCAACCGTTGTTGGCGGGCGGAGCATGCACCAAAGTGGGCGGGGTTTGCCACGGTACTTCATAACTCGGTTCCAATAAGTTCCAGAGATGGGAGAAAAGTAGAAAAAGGTTGGGGAAGAGATGATAGCCGACTGATATCAGTGGGCGACCCACGCACCAAAGTGGGCGGGGTTTGCCACAAAGATACGTAGCTCGATTTCGTCCCCTACAAGACCTCATAATTCGGCTCCGAGATGACTTAGAGACCTGAAAAAAAATACGCCAGAGGTGAAAGTAGGAGTAGAGGTTGAATGTGAACGCTGGGCGTGGCACACCCGGATGTCGTATAATGTATGCTATACGAAGTTGCCACCGCTCTCATAACTCGGTTCCTAGAAGTTCCGGCGACCGGGGAAAATGTGCATAAGTATTGAGGTATGGAGTAGGGTTGAATGCCATTGTTGGGCTAACCATGCACCAAAGTGGGCGGGGTCTGCCTCAGAAATTCGTGACTCATAACGCCATTTACAAGACCTCATAATTCGGCTCCGAGATGACTTAGAGACCTGAAAAAAAATACGCCAGAGGTGAAAGTAGGAGTAGAGGTTGAATGTGAACGCTGGGCGTGGCACACCCGGATGTGGGCGGAGTTTGCGGCGTAAGTAAGATGTACCGAGCAGAAAGCTAAAATCAAGACAAAAATACTGATGGGCCCGATTTTACCGCTGAGCCCCGTCTCATGCACGCGAATGCGTGCGCAGCCAAACTGGTAAAATTAATAAATGTCTATATATATGTGTAGCCACAATGCAGCCTGTTCTATACCTAGGCTACCGAAAAGGGGGCATCTATAGTGTAGAACTCATATAAGATTTCTTATCAGTGTTAATTCAGAGAGAAAATTCCTTCAACACATATCAGCGTAGCAAATTTCATGATGTTATACCGACTGCTTGCAGATGGGCATCGTTTCGAGCGACAAGCCGAAAATGCCACATTTCATTTACGATGTATGTCTACAGTGTTGGAGGCGACTACCACTAGACAGACCACATTTTAGGTACGCTTTTTCACAGTATCCCTGTGAGTCGCAAATGCAGACTCGTCAAAAAAGCATACGTGATAATAACGGATTTTCATGGCCATCTCACTTGGCCAATCTGGGTTGCCTGCAAAATAGCAGTATCACTATTCGAGAAGACCTCGAAAAATCAATAACACGCTTGCCGACCTCTTGACGTGTCTATCTGATGCCATGTCTGTGTTGCATAATCTGCAAAAGGCACTTACCTTCTGCGGGACCAAAACGTGTTTTTTCCGGGACCAGAAGCGCGTCGAGTGCAGACCACACAACACAAGTGACGACGGCCTCCATGTGAGATCTACTTGTTCATAGTAAAGTTCGATTGTTGGTAAATGGTACATAGTTGTAATTAGAGACAACTGCTAGAGTACAAAGTGCAACCGGGCTAATCAGAGGGATGTTGGCAGAAATCAAGTACTTTTTGTGAGGCCGTCGTTACTTGTGTTGTGTGGTCTGCACTGGACGCGCTTCTTGTTTTCGGAAGTAGATGTTCTGAGTATACAGTCACAGTTCAGAGCAGGGTTGATATCGGTCGAGGATTCCTCAACTGCACTTCGAGGATTTTCGCTTGATCAGTTACGTTCTCCCGCGCAGACATTCACACTCGCCATGCGCGAGCCGTCTGTGCTCTCCGCGCGTACGTTCACTCTCGGCACTACTCGCTCGCGCAATACAAAGTCCAGGGTCGATGGATTTCTCGACCGTTTATTCACCCTGGTTTTTAGAGTATAGGTTCTGCATCGAACACCGAGGGCAATGAGTGATGTGTGGTAAAATTATTATATTTTATCGATTCCAGGGAAATAGAACTCTATCTGCTACCGCATTACATCGAGTACGAAGCTTCGCATATGGAAATTCGTCACAGAACTGGCGGGTGAGGTATAAAGCAATGAAGAAAACTCTTCGACAACAAGTCAACGACAGTAATATGACGGAAGCCGATTTTGTTGACCGCCATTGATCTCGCTCTTAATAATAATACCATTAAATTTTTCGTTTGAAACAAAAATTCTCGGAAAGACGTACCATAGTTCTTCGTATCGCATATTTCAAGATTTAATAAATGGTTAAGACGTGTAGGATTATGCAAACAATTCGAACGAAGCAAAGCCAATTTTTCGACCCGGATGGAAGGTTAGAATGATAGCGCAGCCCAGCCGTCCTCATTGATTCTCTTTGCCATTACATGCAAAGTTCGGGCTCAGATCCACCTAAGAAACCCTTACCATGGCTGTTGGGTACGCAAGTGCAAAGGTAGCGCCACCTTTCTACATCGAACGCGTCACTAGGACCCTAGGCGCCATGGACTTCTAACAGACTCCACCAAACTTAACATGGTCCGCCCACCGTTCGATATCTTGTCTGCGTCGCTGCGTTGATCTGCTATGCTCTCTCTTCTCGGACTTCTCTACCACTCTCCGCGCTCACATTATCTCTCATCTCCCTGCCTGTCTTTTGAACTTCTCCACAGCATGGAGCAAAATGCTCGTATTTCCTGTGTATTTCAGGATTTTCGGCGGTCTATTTCCCATCCCTACTTTCACATTTGAGTGGAATCAACCCATCAATTTAGTCCTGATTCTTGCCTTCAAATGACTAAGTTATCCAAACTGAAAAAAACTGATGTTATGTGTTACACATGTACCACAGCTACATAGACTATGTAGCTCCTGTCAAGGGCATATTCATGTATTGTCGACCATCTAGTCGATTCATACGGTGTGGATTGATTTCGTTAGTATTCTAAGGGGAATGGAGGGAGTGAGGAGGGGGCGGGGAGCGATACACATCTGTTTCAAAAAACCGGAAGCGCGTCGAGTGCAGACCACACACCACAAGTGACGACGGCCTCCAAGTAAATCTGGTAACTAGTGATTCATAGTGATAGCTGATAGTTGGTAAATGAAAGTTGTAACTAGTGACAACTGGCTAATCATTTCATTGGCAAAAACATTCACATTTGTGGAGGTCGTCGTCACTTGTGGTGTGTGGTCTGCACTCGACACGCTTCTGGTTCTCTAAAACAGAAGATAATTGGCGCTAGGTATTTGTTGGGAAGGGTATTCTTATTTTCAGTGGTCTGTTAAGGTGAGTCGAAGTATTCCGTGATCATGATGCTTCTCTGAAACCGTTGGTTCTATGGTACTTTCCTTGAATTTTGAAGATTGTGTTGCATCAAATGAATGGAAAGCACTAATCTGCGCTTTCCTGGCTCTCGCTAGGGGGACAAGACCGAAACGTTACCTTATAAAGGTTACTATCATCTTTTGTAAAACTCCGAGAAATTTCGGAAGCTTGTGAGCTACTGTGAGAAAACCCGACGTCTCATGGGTTACGTTAGTCCCACCAATGGATTCTTGCATTTTTCTTCTGGGTTAAGTCTCTTGACCGTGCCACCGTGTTTCTTGCGCTCTCCCTTCCCTGACTACTGTGAAATCTTACACCGACTTTCGCCACAAGGTGAATGCCTCATCTATCACGGCAGTTCGGCCACGTTCATAGTTCGCGACTTAGGATAGTAGGCGACAGGATATGACAAGATTGGATACGTATCGATTGAAATCGCTGGAGAGTAGTAGATTGGGCGACTTCAAGCGAATAGATCAATACATATCTAATCTTGTCAGCGCACTATCCTAATCTACTACTATCCTACTATCGTAATATCGCAATCTACTACTCTCCAGCGATTTCAATCGATACGTATCTAATCTTGTCAGCGCAATCTCCTACTCTACTACTATCCTAATCTACTACTATCCTAATCTCCCGTCAATACATATGTTTTTCATTGTCGCGTACTATCCTAATCTCCGGAGTCGCGAACTATGAACGCCAGCCTACTTTCTCCAGCTTTGAATTAGTTCTCGAAATTTTGCAGCCCGTCTTTCAGGCGTTTTGGGATCTGAAAAGTCAATCGTGCCTCCGAAAACTCACACTAGCCTTTCGCAGGAACAAGCGTAAACTGGAGCGAAATGACGTCACTCAGGAATGAGCGTTAGCCCAGCCTTTGTTTGCCGTATAGAGACAAGGTTTATACGTTGCTTGGTTGACAGTCTGGCTATTTAATCTGTTTGCAAGCACTGGTGCTGTGTTGGGTCTACTGTAACGTTTAATTTGGTAGGGAAATTACTACGATGGGCCCAGATGGTCTGATTTAATGTAGATATGATGGACAGGATGGTATGAGGGACGTGGATCAGCGGCTTGAAGTGACAACGAAACGGGTCAGCCTTCCTTTTTCCTTTGATGATGAGAGCACCTAACTGATTTTGAAACATCGAAGTCAGTGATCTCTCTGAAAGGAACGAGTTCGCGCTGGCAAGGCAACCCATTTTTCAAATTACTTTGGCGATTGCGGTGAGTGGTTAACAAAGGAGGTGAACATGAGAAGCGGCCAGACCCGAGAACATGGAGCACCTGATCGTTACTCGTTGATTTCGCTGCGAGCGAGGATCAGAACACGCAAACAAACAAAACACAGTGAGTCGGGCCAATGCACCGGACCACGCGCCCGTATAGGCATCAATAGGTCGCCAAGAATCCAGCCTTCATCAAGGTGCAATCGCGGTCAGGGACACCTTCGCAGTCTAGTGCACGGGAATCCTGCATATGGATGAATTATTTCTTCGGCCTTCATTCTGATCGAGAATTCGTCCTTTAAGTGCCTTCAAACGCTGAGGTTGTGTTGATATAAGATTTATTGATTGGCATTTCATTGAGAATAAAACGAAAAACACAGCAAAACAACTAACCGAATAAATGGAAATTAATACTTCGAAATTAAGAAGTTTACTTCACTATACTGAACTGAAAAGAACGCAGTTTTGGTGTTCCATGTTTAGAAAAGTCAAAATTCACAAGGCTCGAACGATTGTGAGGATGCCGCCCGCTTGAAATGATGACCGCTTTCTAACAGACAACCTTTATTCAAGCAGTTCAAAAAATATGAGATATTATTGAATATAGGGAGATATAGAACTCTTTTACAAGTAACTCTCAGTATCACTCAAACGTATACTACCTAGAGGTTGAATGTTACCAGAAGGCAGACTATGGCCTGATGGTCGTCGAGCCATGCCGGTGATATGGTAATAGGGACGTGACAACTCGTCCGAAGGCGAGTGTTGCTCGACAAGAGGCGTTGGGGGGATTGACTGCGACTTGATCCAGCCGCCTCAGCACGAAAGACTTTCCATTCTTCGGATTTGGCCGTTATCCCGACACATGACTTTTCTGCGAATTGACGGATAGACCCTGCTTGACGGATTCTGGCTGCAACTCTGATAATACAGGACTGTTTGATCTGAAGAAGCGGGAAGGGAAGAGGGGAGAGGTTTCTAGAAGAAATAGTTGCGAACATATGCTTGCATCGAATGGTGTTCAAAATGAAGTTGCGTCATTCGGTATTGAGAATATCCATTTTACAGCGCTAAGAATATTTCAGTTTTCACTATTAGAGGATAATTAATTGATTTAAGTTAAATATTTTACGAATTAACAGATCATTTTCAGAAGGTGGCCGTATGTTTTTCAGATTAATCCAAAATGAGTTGGTCGTGTTGAGCAGTAAAATGGTGGGTAGAATGTCGGCCGACGAATCCTCGAGTATGGTTTGTATTTGTCAATGTAGGGGACGCGTATCGTTGGAGGTGGGTAACGAAACTTCAATGGACTGTTCAATCCCCAGAATTCCAGGATGTGAGTCGTACGAAGACCCAATTTCGGAATTGGGGGGGTGGGGCGTCGAAGTGCTGCGACCCAAGTCCTTCGAACATTTTTGCAGGTCGCGTTCGGCATTAAACTCGCTCTGAAGTTACTCTCATCTGAGCGTTATATGGCAGTGCGGCCGGAATTTTCGGTTTACAGACCTCTGTGTCTTGGCTGACGGTCGACAGCGAATCGTGTTGGTCGAGGGCAGGGGATGGTACAGCAGCGGATTCCGGTGTTCATACTGGTGGGGGACAGCATACAATCAAAATACCAAGCCTGTTTATCCTCTTGCCCTTCTTCAAGAATTTTCGCTTTTCTGCTTCTATAACCGGATGCCAGCGCCTTTGCTGGAGCCAGGTGAGTCTTAAGATATCTTCCACGGACCATGGACCAGTGGGCGGGACCGGAAGTTTTTTGACGAAATGCATGGTAGGTACGGATCCACGTGTCGAACGCACGAACGTGAACAGGATTCACTTCAAACCTTCCCATGAACGTGGATCCGTACCTACCATGCATTTCGTCGCAAAACCACTTCCGGTCCCGCCCACTGGTCCATGGTCCGTGGAAGATTCCTTTAACTTTTACCACTTTCAGGGATAGGCCCCCTGTCCCATCTTTCATTAAGAGTTGTGGTGGTTTCAAGGTGGTTGCATGTTGGACCGACATCGAATAAAAGGAGGCAGTCGAGAAGGAAATGCATTTTAGGGTGGTTTCGATGATATATGTAGATCTTGGGGAAATTGTGTGTATTGCGAGCTTCAGACGACCAGGCGGACAAAGAGTCGTGACGGTGAAGGAACGAAGCAGGTGGCTGACAAGGGCGGGTTCGTCGTCGTTTGAGGCTAAAATCGCGTATTGCTATTCGTTTTTCTTTACGCTTTTTCATATCGAATTGGTGTTAGAAAGTGGTCTTGATAAGATGAAATTAATTGGTCGTGCTAATTCCCAAAGGCTAAACTGCTAGCCGCGAAATTTGGGTAAGCGGGAATTATTTGAATTCGCTATTCCATCTGCTCACTGCACAAATAATACAACAAATATAACATAATTAGGAGTCTCAAGCCCATGCAAAATGTTCAGGTAGAATCACTTGTGGTATTGTGCGTTTTGTGCTATACATGTCTGCAATATGTCGCAATTCTTGGATATCGTTGTTAAGACGTCGTCGTTCAACAGCGCAGATCCGTTCGGGATTCAATTGCGAGTCGCGAACCTCACTCACTCTTTGGCCAAGCTCCTCTATGCGATGGGTTCACTAAAAGCAACACTGATTTGAAATCTCAACATACATTGTTCTGTGTGCAGATGGGGTAGAAGCCCCAAAAATAACAGATAGGCTCGAGAGTAAGTGGCAAGAAGGTGCCAATTCAGTGCTTTAGATTAGAATTATATTACCTCACAGAAGAGTGTCTGTAATTCTTCGCAAGCCCAAATTTACTCCGAGTTGATTTCTGATCCGAGTGTTCCTNNCNCAGGGCGCCAAAAGCTTGGTCTCAGAAGAGAGCTTGTGTCTCGCTCGAACGCCCTACCTTCTACAGGCTCATGGTATTTTGCACACATTTCACTCCGCGGCTAGCGAGCCTAACGCTAGGGAGAAGAAGTAGAGGATATTTAAGATATTCAAAGGCACATCGTGCAATCAAGTACAGTGTAGGTGTGGTCATAGAGTTCCAAGTGAAAGTGGAAAGGAGAAGTGGGCTAACAGCAACGAATAATAAAAGAAACAAATGAATTCTAATAAAAACAGAAGCCTCCTCCAATTCTGCTAGCGATGAGATCACAAGACAGTTGGCGCCGAGGAAAGAGTACAGGATAGAGAGTGTATCGGACGAGAAAACGCAGATGGCAGACGCAAGCGATGATCATAGTGATCGGGAAAATGCAGACGCTCGTAGTATAGCCGCAGCCTTTACTGCCAAAGAACAAGGCTTTAAGGATCTCGCCGATTCAGACTCAAACCTTGGCACTATCTTCGCGAATGAGACCCAACAAATCCATTACCGGATAAAATCTCTTGAAAGTCCAATCGCGAAATGTGCCTTTGACGATAGTCATAACAAGGTTGACGTTAGTAGAAACTCTATTAGGGCGGTGTCAGACTTTGGGAGTCGAGCGATTCGCTCGGTCCGCAATGTCTGACAGCAGCCATGGGGTCAAATATAGAGGAAGCAGAGGAGGTTCTAGAATAGATTGTTGAAAAATCAAGTCTCACCTCGACAATGGTGGTATTGAATGCCTCGGTAACATTCAGTTTCGCCTCATTTTCACTCAGAGCTCGGCACAATCGTCCCCATGTCTGCTCCAGCTTCTCGTTTAGTCCTATCTGAAAGCTACAGACATCAGCTACGATTTTTCACACTCTGGATAACTCAGCTGGCGTCGGGTTGTCGCTTTGTGAATTTCATTTTTTTCACACAAAAGCAATTTCGTAGCTGAAATCAAGCCATCGAATTTTCATTTTCGCGACAGATTTCGGAATATAGAGAGGTTCAACGTCTTTTCTCGGCATTCCGAAGTGAAGCCAAAGATTTTGATCGTTATAGACCGATGGTCAAATGCTTCCAAGAAGTACAAGTGCTGCGATAACGTCCTGCTCTACCCTATCTAGGTCACCTTGGAACTCCTTTACCACTCTTTCTACCCGTCAGTGAGGTTCTCCTACTGATGGCGAGCGCGCGTCGTTATACATATTTTGGTAAGACTCCTCCCACTAGCGGACAAACCACGCCCAAGCATGATTAAGTTCCCGTTTTTCCGGGATATATCGCATTCAAACCGCTCATATGCAGTTAGTAATTATTTGTGCTTGGATGGAAACAGAGATATCCGAAAAAAACGCACGCAAATTTTATTTCTTTTACAACACGAGTTTCGAATTATGCCAGTTACAAATATTATTAGCTAGCGTTTGGCGTGTACATAGGTTGATCCGGTGCTCAGGAAATGTTGCACTTGTAATCAAATATGGCCCAATCATTATCATTAGATAAGCTGAGATAATCAACGCAACAAACATTGGTGTTCAACAAGCACTTGGTGTTCATTGGTCCCCTTCATGATGCGCCACGCATTCTGCCTCCATTCCAGATCGTGGTACTGTGGTGTTCGAAGGAGTTCTCGCCCACAATATGAATTGCGAGGACAAAACGATCTACAAGTGATCTTCATCCTCCCGGTCGAATCTGGTAAAAATTACACATTCTGGAAGGATGGAAGGTTTGATTATCCTAGAAGGGCTTGATCAGAATTGACTCCTGGACCGTGTGCTTCGTAAGCGTGCCACCTTCCAGTACACCACCACTTTTAAATGATTACTTTGACGAATAAATCGGCAAAATACTTCTACATTACTGGATCTTGAACAATCTCAAAACGAATTCCTCTGGAAAATCCCTTTTATATTTTTACCTGATTTTTGACGTCCATCCTTAGCGATCTTCGCAAAACCAACGCCACCTGACACAACTGCCGACCGTACTCGTAGGTGCTCTGAAATACCTTTTCTTTATTCAAAGCAGTAAACCATTCAAAATCTCCTCAAATTATATTGTTCAATAGACCAAACTTGGAAGAAAATTCATATTTTGAAATATGTGATTAAACGTAATTATACAGACGAAAAATAGCCCACCCTGGCCGTTTCTTCAAGTTTCATTCGATCCTCACGTAAATGGCGTAGATCGTCCTCAGCACCACCCATTTGATTATAGTCTTTCAGCAGGGTTTCATGCAATTCTTCGAGCCACTTTATTGCCTAAACATACTTTATCAAATCTGTGGGTGGGTGCGCAACCACAGAGGTGAAGTCACGCTCATAACTCGAAAGTGCACGGCAATAACGCCCCATTCTACTATTCTGAGCTATAGCCGCCTAACTTAAAGGACGACACGCTGGAAAGGCGACCCATTTCAAATTAACTTAGGGATCGTGATTGGTACAAAAAAGAAGGAAGAACATGACAAACGGCCCAGAACCCGAGAAACGGAACCCCTT